TTGAATTCGGCCAAAAACCACCGTGTTCTTTTCGCACAGTAAATCCAATATGATTTGCATATAAACAATACTGTTCATAGGCTTCCTTCTCGTTGTTGACCACTGCATGAAGTAATTTCTCTGCCTCAGGTGACTGCAAATTTAAACATCATTAATACAATGTTACAATACATAAATAATTAATACAATGTTACAATACATAAATAACACGATAATAATACCATATATAACTCAAATAATGCCATGACAATGCCAATATAACATGCCGAACAACTGTTGTTAAGAAATGTTACTAGCCTCATGAAAGAAAACCAAGTCAGCAGATCCAATATTACATTAATAACACTGTGATACTACCAAAATAACATCAAATCCCCACGACATTAACGTTACAGTGTGATACTACCAGAATAACACCAAACCCCCACTAATACTATAACGAACAATTAGAAATGAAAAACAACTGCAATAATAACAAGTGTATCACCGTGATATTACCTAAATAACACCACATCCCACCCTTGTCGAAACTTAGCGTTACACGTCATATAAAAGCAGAGCAAACTTCATTAACAATAAAATTATTCCTTAAAACTTAGAACTGCATTCAAACAAGTCCCCAATGTATCTGTCGATGTCCTTCTGCCGCATCTAAACTCTGCTCATTATCATTATTCTCGAAAATATTCTGAGATTTCAGCTCATTGTTATGTTTCTCGCAAGTATTTTGATATTTCAACAACATTTTTTCGTCAATAATTATTTCCATCGAACTAGGTCCAGCGAATAAGAGGCAACGAAATGAGAATATCCCGAATCCCTAAACCCTAAAGGAGACAAAATACCACTTTTATTTAATGGGGGGAATCAAAAATGACAAAAAAGAGTTTTTTTTTTTTTTACGGGATTCGGGTCGGGTAGGGCATAATATGACAGAGTTTTTAAATTGAAAAATTCACGTGGCATCGAATTCCACGTGACCGTTTTTAATTCGGTATCGCATGCAGGCCTTCATGCAGTACATGCACCGAATAAAAATTCTCCTTCCTTTTTTCCTTCACGCGCAAGTCCGAAACCACTTATTGGCCTGCTCAATATTGCCTTTCGGCTTCTTTCACGCACGCGGTTTGCGCTAGGGTTACACACAAGGCTCATCTTCCTCCTGCTCACATCGGCATTGGATACGCACGATGCTTCCTCCTTTGGCTTCGACTTCTTCTGCACGCGATGAAATCCTCAGCATCGATTCAACGTTAACAAACATCTTCTTCCATGCGTCCAAATTGATTCCTCCATCACTAGGGTTATAAACTTGACCGTCTTCCTCTCTGTCGTTCTTTTTCATTGCCTTGCCTTCTTCTCCCATTCATGCCTTTGATTTCTTCCCTTCAATTTTAAAGAGGTGTTCGATACTTGTAGAACCCAATCATGACAACAATTGGTTTGAACGGACAAGGATCCATCAAAATCCATGATATATCTGCAAAAAGATATTTTCCTATGGAGGAGTACACAACATAATTTGATCTACTTAAATTAAAATATGAGTTGGTTAAACTAGAGAAGCACACTGTGCTAATATATCTTGGATGGCTAGATCATCTATCAAGAATGTCGTGTAGTTGCAACTGTATTGGTCCCTAATCAATGTCTAAACTCTAACTTTAATGGTGGAGAAACAATATTACCAAGTGATTGCCGCATCTTTCAGGTTGAACTCACCTTTCAGGTAGTGTTTAACCCCACGATCAGGCAGCAAAAGTATACTCTATGGAGCATTCTAGCCAACCCTGCCAGAGGAGAAACCCACACAGAGTGAAGAAAAGGTAGAGACCACCAATACTTTGTTATGTTGACACCTAAGGGCAATTTAGTCTTTTATTATTTATTATTGTGAGGTATAAATAGGATTTATCGTGCCTAGGGCTAGGTTATGCTATGAGAATGTGGTCTTTGAGTCTTAGGTTTAGGCTTTGATAGAAATTTCCCACCTCCCAAATTACTGGTGTTGGGAGAGATCGTTAACCTCTCGAATCGTAGGTGCTTATCTTTATCTATTCGGATTGCAGTATTTTGTTTTGATGAAATAAAATATTTCGTTGCCCTAATTTCTGTGAAGAAAATTGGCTCTGATTCATACCAAATTGGTATCATCAATTCTTCTTCACCACGATTTCTCTGGGAAGCCAAAGAGGATATTGCAATTTATGTGGTAAGCTGACGGCATCAAACTCCTTCACTTGGAAGCCACTCAAGATCACATCTCCTACGTTCTTCGAAACAAGAATGAACAAATCGTGGCTAGTTTTGGGAAATGTCGGTTTGCCACTGTGACCTAATATTGCGATACAATTGTAATTGGAGCTACTAGGAAACAATGTTAGGATCGCGGTGTATAGGGTCACAAATAGACAGGATTGTGGCGACCAAACCTCACGATACTATCCGATATGAGCTGGCTAAGAAGCCAACGACAGGAGCACGTAAGGAAGTTCTGCAATTCTAGCTATGGGGAAAGCAAGGACATGGTCATTGCTTATGACCCCTCGATACAGTCGTGAGTCGGGCTACCTAGAAAGACAACAATGAAGGGATTTCAGCGTGCAGGATGGCAACAAGGAAAGTGGATGCTTTTAAGAGATATTGGAAGGAAAAGTAGGACAACTTAAATACGGGATAGAGAAAAGCTTCTCAACCATAGACGAAAGGTTTTCTTCCATTAAAAATTGATTCGAGAGCATGGAGGAGATGAGGGAGAGGCATATTGAGATGCAATCCAAGATCTAAATGACTGCAGAATTCTTGGCAATATCTGAAGGGAAAAAGACCGGATCAGAGAAACATGAGGAGGAAAGCATCCACTATCAAGAACCTCCTCCTAGGACTTTGATGTGGGATGGATTAGAGATTTCCGATAGAAGCGTTTTGGGTTGAAACATCGAAAAGGGGTTATGCGAAGGGTGTGGAGAAGCACAAAGATGGAAGGAGATAAGTCGGGATGGGGTATGCTATGATTAAAGGATGGCTCTAATTACATAGGGGGAACATGGGGGGCGGTGGAGATGATTAAGTTGAAGATGCCGATCTTCGAGGGGGAAGATGCTCATGGGTGGATTTACTAGGTGGAGCGATATTTTATGGTGAATGGGCAGGAGAAACCTGTCCACCGGAACATCTCCGATTCGTAGTTGCCTTTGCTGTTTTAAGCCGGGACAGCTGCCGACATCATCAACCCTGCTGTCTAATAGTAGATTTATCCTCGCCATTTTTTCCAAACTCCGTCAGCAAGAATTATTGTCCTTCACTCACTATTCCACAATCACCTCCCCACAAAATCTATTTACCAAATACATTTTAGGAGCTATAGAAATGTATGTGACGATCTAGGTGAAACTGTCTTAGAGTCTGAGAGAACTTCAAGCTCACTCACAACAGTGAAGGAACAAATTGGGCACACAAGGAAAGATAGTATTTATTAAGCTATTTCAAGCAAAATTGAATCCGCAACAGATAACTTCACAGGTAGGGATTCTACTGCTATCGGATGTAGGAATTTACATTAGAGCAAATCAAGCTGATCATTACTTATAGCAGAGAATCTGACAGAAGCGGAAAAAACAAAAAAGAAAAATGACATTTACTTTTTGTTTGTGCTACTTCAGGCAAGACGCAGCAACAACTTGCGCAGAGTGGGGGACTGAGATGGTGTGCATGGGATCAATGAGGAAAGCAGAGTTGTGTGGTAGACGAGCTTGCGAAGGAAGGAGAGCTTCGGTCGAACAATTCCACAGGGTTTTGGTGTTATAGCGCCAAATTCCTTAATAACGACTTATGAACAGCTCCCGCCAGCCATGCTTGCCCTGTATTGTCGATTTCAATATCATTTTAGTGAGTACCGGGTAGAGCGTCTTGTAGGTACTCATCAACATAGAATTTGTAGTCAATATCATGTGCAACTGTATAACATTGTCGAGCGAACATTTGGTTTCTAAAAGAGAGATTTCAAGTTTCAACATATATGTGACAATTTTCTAAGAGTATTTAGTCCGATATTGTCATTGCTTGTGTTGTGCTACATAATTTTGTCCGTATGTACCACAATCATAATATATATTTCAACATGTCACAAATTATAGAATGCACAGGTAATGCATTATATTTTCTAAACTAATTGTAACTATTTTTACAACTTATAATTTAATGACACGTCATTTCTACTGCTGGAGATTGAACAAACTTGCTGCTGAACTTGAATGTTTGGTTTTAATCTTGTGGATTATAAGAGGGACGTGTTGTTTCATTTTGAGTTGCTATATTTGCCTTTTTTTTACTAATGTGATGTGTACTTGTTCTTCAATATGAAATAGATAAATTACAAGTTTTAATTTTCTGAGTAATATTATAACTACATGTGATGATTTTTTTTTTCTCTTCATTAAACCATGATTTATAACTTATATTATAAAAAATAAAAAATAATTTAACGCAAATTATACTAACAGGCTTAAATCTTCAAAGAACTTACCAAAGATTTTTATGGAATTTCATTAGATTTATTATAGCTCATGCCAAACAGTTTATGGGATTTAATCACTCCAGGATTGACTAAATCATATTTTATAAGATTTACTAAATTCACTGGAGTGAAAGCCTAGAAGTTTCTGTACAGCTTCTAAATCACTAGATCTAGCAATTGAGGCAGTCTGCAATATTTGAACTAAATCTGAACCTAAATAAATTTAGTTAAGAGTTATGCATCTTTCTATTTACCTTGAAAAAATAGTCAGCCTCGTATAGATTTTTTTTTTCCCCCCTGTGCGAAGCTTTACAGGTGGTAAAAGAGAAAACTCTTCTGTACATTTGTATGCTATGCAACAATATTAAAAAAAAAAGGTAAAAAGTGCAGCAGTGCTGAAAATAATCGCAAATTGCATAAAAAAATGCACTTTCACAGTAATTATTATTGCTTGCTGATAAGATCTTTTTGTTGCCATATGCAGTTGTGGATTTTTACAGAAATTTGGGATTTGAAGCTGATCCTGATGGCATTAAGGGCATGTTCTGGTATCCAAGATAGTGGTTAGCAACTTCTCTTTTTGATGCTGCAGTTTGTATGTGCTGTAAAATGCTCTGCACCTTATGACTATTGAGGTGATAATTGTTTTAATATGATGTAAAACTATCCTCTACCTTGTTATATATCTTTCATATTTGTTTGTAATCACATAATTTATATGGACAGTGGCTTTTTAGGGTTGATTCATATTATTAATTATTTCCTTAGCTTTGCTAAAAAAAATTTACAATTCACCGCAATGAGGCCTCGATTGTTTCTGTTATTTTTTCATCTCTTCACTATTTTTTACTTGGAGTGTATCAAAGGGCATTAGTTTAAGCAGTATATTTGTTGAATCCAGATCTATCTGATCATGCCCAAGGGATTGAGCATACGGACCGAAGGAGAGAAAGAGGAAGAGAGAGGGAGATGCAGGAGAGAATGACTTCCCCTATATGGGCAAATGGGTTATTTCATGAATGTGTTCATTATCAGAGAGGGGAACCAAAAGCCACTAATAAATCAAAGAGTCTTATTTATAGATGATAGGAGGACAAAAATAAAATTATATTATTGTCCTTGCTAAAGAGGGGGTAGTACTAGTGGGGTCGTATTTTATATGGACTTTTAGATTTACTCAAGATCTGTGTAGATCAATTTTTTATGCAAATATTAAGTTTCCTGATTTTCTTGCTCCGTAACAACATCAACTACAATATTGACAAGAAAATTTATAAATTAAATAAAATATGATTACATGAATCATTGATGATACTCTCTGTTTATGCTCTCTTTGTGCTTCGTTCTGACATCTTCTGTGTTATCTCACCGGCTTCGAAGCATTTTTCCCCGAATCGACTCTTTCAGAGGTATTGTCAACCAGCTGGCTTGGCTCATTTATCAGTTTGATCTGACGCTTAGAGTACATTTTTATTTTTTCTTATTTTTATTTGCAAAGTGTAACAAACCTTTGTAAAAAAGTTTTTTGTAAGAAAAAATGATTTATAATGAAACTCTATACGTTTTTGTGTATGGAAAGAGATTAAAATTTAGGTCGGTCCGACCTTTTACCTTTTACGCGCTATTTACTTGCGATATTGTTTTTTATGAATATTAATATTGGTTGATGACTCGGATCTTCGGAAAGATCATTGGCCGTTCTTGATGTATTTACTGCCCGACACAAGTCTTATAATGCCTACGTCTCATTTGCTTGGTTGGATCATCGGATCAGTCGACCGCACCTTTTGCCAGGTTTTATGTGATTCTTGTCACTGTCTTTGTAGAGGTAACTGCCGAAACTAGCTTGTAGGGTGATTTTTGTCGTATCCTTCATGGAGCTTGTTGTTATTGGGCATAGAATCACCTCCAGAGCTTTATTCATGTTGAGTATAGAAACAAGCTCTTTTAAGTTTGGCGTTGAAAACCGGCGCTAGGACTAACCGGACGAACTTGGTGTCGTGGTCGATCTTTTTTATTTGACCGAGTGGCTTATGTCGCAATCGATATGCATTTGAGGCATTGAACCGGATTCTAACCTTTCACTTGTGTGGGTCTCAATCTCTTGGTGGGAACTTCATCTAAGATTGTGTTAAAGTCAAGAATATTATGGGGACATCTATTTATTACACCTTTGTCAAGTCTTTCCGCATTCTAGGCTTGGATTTACATGGGGTTTGGAATTATTTAGTGAAACCTTCATATTCTTTTTTTTTTTTTATGGAGGCTTCTATGGAGGCTTCTTCATAGGATTAGGGTTATTCCTACTGATAATATTTTAGGGCTTAAAGAAATTAAGGTGGTTTATGGATGCTCTCTTTGTAAGATGTAGGAAGAAGAGATCGAGCATCTTTTTTGTAATTATTCTTATGCTAAGAATATCTGAAATATGGTTCTTTCTCTGTTAAAGGTTTAGTTGAATTGGAATTTTGTTTCATCCATTAGTGATGTGATTAATTTTTAGAGAAGCAAAGGTGAAAAGTTCTATCATACTATTCCGATTATTGTTCCTTGGTTTCTTTGGACAGTAAGGAATGAAATCAGGCATTCTGATAAGGTTATTTTTGAAATTACATGTTAATAAGAGCTTGTTGAACATTTTTCATATGTTCAATGTGTCGATTGTTAATAAAGATAAGATGCATACTAATATTATTGTTTGGCATAAATCGAATAAAGTGGTTGTTAAAATTAATATTGATGGAAGTTGGAAAAGAGCTTTAACGGGCGATGGTTCTGCTAGTATCGGTGGTTTAGGAATCATTTTTGGTAATTGCTTATGTTGGTTTTATGCACCTTCTTTGCGGCTAATCCTCTTATGACTGAGGCGGATGTGATAATAAATGCTATGAAATTAACCATTAGATGCTGTTGGAATAATATTATAATTGAGATAGAATCGTCGGTTCTCTGGAATTTTGCAATCATCTTAAGAAGTATCCTTGGTTTATTAATAATTATATGAAGAATTTTTTTACTTGCCAAAGTATTTTGCATGTGCAGTGGTTCTTTATTTATCGTGAGGGTAATCAATGCGCAAATTGGACAGCTAAGCAAGGTTTGGATTTGCAAAAAGTTAATGTTTCCAACAATATTCCAAGGAGCTTTCTCGGCTGCTTCATGGTGATTGTTTGGATCTTCCTTTCATTAATGTAAATAAGTTATCGTTATTTATTTTGTTTGTGCGAGTTATGTTGTGATCTTAAGTTCCCAAGTTTTTTTTTTTTATGTTGTGAAACTTTTGGCCACCTTGATATAAATTTTATTTCGGAGCAATAAAGTTTTCTACGGAATTCATTAAAAAATAAATTATAAACGCCCTTAGTTTTATTTTAATTTATTTTATTTTTGTGCTTAGAAATTGCTCAAATTTGGCAAATATTTATTTTTTCATGTATATATTTTGATGTGATTTAAAAACTGAAGTAAATTTAAAGATATCAAATATATAATAAACATACAAAAATCAGTGTCATGTTTGAAAAATTCTCCTAATGCTGTCAAATAAAAGACTTGGTATAGGGAATGACTACCCTTTTCTTCAAAATAAAATACAGAAAAATAAATGAACTAATGGCATAGGGATGATTGGAGGTGGCTGTCAACTTCTGTGCCTTGAATTTAGAACAATCGCTTTTAGCCATATATACCATGAAGGTATTGTCATTCTCAAATTTGAGATGAACAGTTTTGCAACCTACCATTAAATTTTAGGAAGATTTACAATACACTCCACCTCAACTTTCAACTTTTACGTACATACCAAATTGCCTATGCTTGGAATGATGTATTCTACTTTTTAAAAGTTAAAATGGTGACATTTTTGACGTGATATGAAAGATTTGAGTAATATAAATATAAAAATTAATGTTTAGATATTAGATATGTAAATACATAGGAACTGGTTCGTATTTATGTAAATGCCCCTAAATTTTATTTCTGAGAGTGAAATAGATTGCAAGACATATTTATTACGATCGTATCTCTAGGATTTGAATAATTGATAATTTGAGGATACTAGCACCTATAAAAACTAAGGAGTTATAGATAAGAAAAACTCGAACTTAGAAGGATGATCAATAATTTAAGGACGTCGATAACTCAGTAAAATAAGGTGGAAAAGAAGAAACACAATAAAAGTAAACTTCTATCTTATTTTCATTTCTCAATGTGGACCAAAGTGGATTTATTTATTGATTATAATTCTACTAATTCCTTGCTAATTAATTTTTTTACTAATTAATAACTCTTAATCGCTTAACATAAGATATTAAGCATCTTATGTTCTAAGTTCTCTAGCGCATGATGTGTATAAAAATCTCAAATCATAATTTGGAAAATTTCAGTGTAAAATCTTGACTAGAAAGTTTATGATATGGATGGATATAATATAAATTATTTATATATTAAACTTATTAAATATGTATATAATTATGTTGAGATCCATTTTATTTAAAATATTGATGGGATGTCTGGAGGACCTGATTCAGTCTTTTCCCAATAATTCAGGTTGAGAAATACAACAGTAGATAGGGCTGTCAGAACGGTTCGTTGTTCGCAAACATCTTGTGTTCTACTCGCTAAGAAGCTTGTGTTCGGCTCGTTTGCTAAGTTAAAGAGCCAAGCATGAACAACACAATATTTGTTCGTTCGTGTTCGGATCGTTTTTGGCTTGAAATATTACTAATCAATTATTTATATAACTTTGATGAGAAGTCTTTTTTAAAAACTTAATCGACTACAAGGCTGCAAAGATTTATAATCAATTAAAAGTATTAATGAAGAAAATAGAATAAAAATTATTAAATTAGATTCAAATTATGTTTTAAATCTTGTCCCAATCATTATCGTTTGATGGCTACGTGATTAGGGTTGTCAAAATGACACTTTGTTCGTGAACGGCTCATGTTCGACTCCCTAAGCAAACGAGCCGAGCACGAACACATTTTTTGAGCTCAAAATATAAACGAGCAGAACACGAGATGAGCGCGGGCTTGCTCATGGTCAGTTCTTTTACACCCCTAAATATATTTTCCCAAAATTTGACCTATAAAACGCGATCCAGATAAAATTTAATAAACTATGGTCCATATATCTGCAGCGTTTAATGAACGGCAATATCTTGCGAAGAGTCAAATTGCAAGTCAGCATCCATTTACCGAAAGTTTAACGTTACATGAGAGTTATTTTGATAAATGTTAAAAAGGATTATTTACATACATACCATTTAATTCTTATGTATTTAGGCTTTAGGGTTTTAAATGTAAATATTAAACTTTAGGTGTTAGATATGTAAATACATAAGAATTACATGACATGTATGTAAATTTCTCGATTAAAAAAGAGGAAAAGTATGTGATAAGAAAATATTATGAATTCTAAATATTCAATTTTTCACAAATAAATTGAATGAAAGCTATTTTATTATGATGGAGTCCAATGAGGCATTTAACGCTAATAATTTTTTTTTTTTTTGTTGAGAAATTAAAAAAAGATTTTATTTTCTTAAAATATTGTTTTGATATCATGACTTGTTTATGCAATCAATGAGACATTAATGACTATGAAGTTAGGTAATAGAATTCCATTCAAAATTCTCTTAATTAAGTTCAGAAAAATGTAGGCTATTTTTATTTGTTTATTTGTAGTGCGACATCTCTTCCTTATTTTAATGATATTATTTTTGCAAAATCTTTAAATTATGTAAAATTTGACGAAGAAATATTGCACCAGGACTCCGCACATAGAGTTACGTGCGGAGTCCAATGAAATCACGTCACGTGAAGGTGACAGGAAAAAAAAATCAACATGGTAACACGGGAGAGTATTCCCCCCTTGTTTTTTCTTGTTATTTAGGTGTTATTGCAAGTTATTCACGTGTTATTATGTTCTGAGAATATTTCCGGAGTTATAATAACACAATAACACATCAATGATACTTGAATAACACATAATAACACCTGAGTAACACACAATAAAATTTAAATAACATGGGAGGAATATTCTCTTGCGTTATCGAGCAGATTTCATTTTATTTTTTCTGTCACCCCGCCACGTGGCGTGGTGTGATTTCATTGGACTCCGCACCTAACTCTACGTGCA